TTGATAGCTAAAGTAATGAATATAATATTTAAATATATTTTGAGTAACTATTTTATTGAGCGTGGTTAAAATTGCTCATATCTTACAGCAATTTTAGAATCAGATCCCTGCCAATATTTTTAAAAACCATTAGGGGTGGATATATTTTTAAAGCCTTAATCGGAAGAACCTACGCAGGTAATTTTTTTACTTTGTTAAGTTTAATAATACATAAACTTTTTGTTATTAAGTACACTATTCAATTGCTTTTTCACGTATTACTTGATTATTCTTTCTTAAATATTACATAATTAATTGTTAATTTATATTTTAGAAATAATTATATTCAGACCTCTTAAAGTTTGTCACTTAATCATTTAAACTCTAATATTTAAAATATTACACATAAACTCTCTAAAGTTTATATGCAAGACTTATACCCCAGTCATCAAATGCCTATTAATATATCCGTTAATAAATTATAAGCAGATTTTTTGAAATTTGAAAGAGTATAATACTTAAAGCCTTCAAATTTAAATTTGTATATTTAGACTAAAAAATATTCCAATCAAATATAAAATATTTTAAATTTTATAACTAAAATTCATGTTCTACAGTATCATTTGTTGAAATAAAATTTAAAATAAAAAGTCATTTTTTTCTTAAAAAATCGTAATTAGTGTACAGTTATAGTATCGATTGAAACAAAACTAAAAAATCAAACAAAAGATTTAAGTCATTCATAATATAACATGAATTTTAAAACCAAAATTCATGTTCAATTATATCATTTATGAAAAAAAAAAATTATTTTTTCTTAAAAAATCATAATTAATATACAACTGAATTTTCATTAGCCAATTTATAACAGATACAATAATTAGAAGGGCATTTATATTGTTTACCCCTTTTATTTATAAAAAAAACTACCTTTAGCAACATTCTAGCGAATGAGTACCATAGACAATGATAAAAACATTGATCTAAACATAATGGTAGAAGATCAAACTTGTTAATCTATTTACTTTATTACACACTCATCCCAAGCTTTACAACACTTTGTAACCAAAAGCAATAGTTGAAAGCATCTCTGACTGGAAAATGCTGACTGCAGAGCAATGTTCAGCTAGGCCAAACACAGTAGCACTGTTTTTTCCTTGAAAACAAACCAAACACATAAGACTACAAAAGAAAAGGCACAATTTAGCAATTCAAAAAAAAAAAAAAAACCAGAAACATAAATGCACAACCAGGCAACAAGCAAGTTAACTGCTCATCCTTCGGTCATTCCAATTCAACATTTCAGGCTGTCATGTTTTTCTCAGCTTCAAAGAAAAAGTGGGAATACAGCATGGGAATATCCTAGTCCTAATAATCACAAACCTTAAGAACACGAAAAGCTAGACAATGAATTTGCGAAATACGCTATTTACTGATTAATTTCATATTTACAAGAAGGTCGTGATGCTTTAGCTCCTTAAAGTGAATTCCTGGTCATTAGCAGTAGGAGCTGCTGCATGTTCCAGTTGGATGAGCAACGAGACTCTGCCATGTTCATGAAGAGTGATCAGCATAGACCTGCATGTAATACTTCGCCATGAACGTCGAACCAAACCAAGTTAGTGAAACCAAATGGCTACCCATTTTAAATGTGCATAGGTTCACACAAGTAAATCTGTCATTTTATCGGGCACCAAAAGCCTAATTAGCATGTCAAATACTTTCATAAGTTATGAACAAGAAAATTCAAAGTTTCTGAAGATTCAAAGCTGCAGGATAAAATATAACCCCAAAAGCTGTGACTTAAAAACAAATATAAGAAAAGGAAAAAACGAGCACCGGATCCACTAAAGCAAGTCCCTCTTTATGTAACGTCACTGCATAAAAATTTTCAGAAACTAACCAATCCTCAAGGTTGAATTGATTCAATTCATTTCCTAAAGCAAAATTTCAGCCAACTTAGAAAAATGCAAATGGTTTACAATTTCAAATGCTGGTCAAGAATCCATGTCCCAACATAATACAGCAACTTAAAATAATTTCTTCATGTATCTCACACAAAGGAACAATCGTTCCATGACATTTAGTCATTATTGAAGGCACAACATAGAGAAACACCGAGATTATATCATTAATTTATCCATCTAGCTTAAATTCTAATACATCCGATAAAAGTACATACAATAAAAGATTCACAAAAAACTGGTTAACATGTGGCTACAGTGCGATATGGTTAAAACTAAAAGGAGAGGGTGACAAAGAAGAGAAAGAGAAACCCATCTGTAGAATGTGCATTTAAATTTGAGATGAAATTTAAGGTGGCAGAAGCCTGTAGAATGTTATTAATTTTTCCCTTTAAGGTTGAAAAAAGGCCCTTTTTTTAGCGGGGTTAAGCTGCACCATGGATAAAAAGAAGTGCCAATTTAACCTATGTCTAACAATCAAATGTACAATTTATGTCAAACAATATTCCTACGTAGTGGCCAATAATCATCGTGGAAGAGAGAAATAATGCATGGAGCCATGAATAATATGCAATCCAAATACAGGAACTGCAAACATATGAAACACCATTGAAATNGCCGAAACGTCCGAAACGTTTCCATTTTCAAAAAGACCGAAACGAAATAGTGATGGAATCAAAATTCTAATATTTCGAAGTACTCTATAACGTTTAGAGATGTTTTTTATAATATTTCAATGCATTTACACAATTGTTTCGGAATGTTTTACGACATTTCAAGATACTTTGATATATTTCAATCAATGTTTTAGAAAAAATAATTCTTAAATTTTTTATTTTTTTTATTATGTGTTCCGAAAAGGGTCAAAACGTTTCCGTTTCTTAGGTGACCAAAACAATTCACCAAAACAAAATTTTAATCCTTGGTCGGGGGAAGAATCTGACATGGCAGTGGCACGCAAGATTATTCCAGAGCTTCTGATTGGGTCCCCAAAAGTACCAGGATAAGGCGAAAAGAATACTATACCAAAGCTTACCGCGCAAAGCCACTCTTAATCCCTCCTTCAATTCAAGATCCAGGCAGAGCCTCAATCTAAGAGGAAGGACAGGGAATGTCTGAATACTTTTTTGGGACCAGCGCATAATATGGGATCGATTCAGCACATGCAACTTAATGGCTTAAACTACTATTCACATTTTAGAAATCATTTTAGGTCTGTCAGTCTATTTCATCAATAGACACTAATTTAGTTGTTAGCGTACATTCATTTTTCCTGTTTATGTGATGTCTCCAAAAAAATCAAGTTCCTGTGCATCAAGTTCCTTCCACTCCCTAGTCCCTACCCTGTCAGATTGCATATCTATTGTTGAACTTCTCAACTATGGCTGCCCATCATGTTTATGTATTTGATCCCAATAGTAAGTTAATTTGATTTATGAGCTTGATCAACCAACTTGTGTGCATCAACTATTAAAATTTAAACATATTTCTAGCAGTTTAGGAAATTGTAACATCTTTGCTAGATCTTCGTGATCAGCAATACACATTTCAAACCCAAAATACTCCATAGTCAATCACAAATTCGCAACTCGAATCCCACACTTCACACCCAAAAGGCAAAAGGCCTAGCATTTGGTTTATGTTACACAATATTATCATGTGCCATAATCTACAAACACAATGCAACAAATAATGCCCCAAGGATTGCAAATATTCAAGCTATAAGAGTTTGGTGGCATAGTCGTACAGATAAACTACTCATTCATGCGTTACAAGATTGAAAGAACAGAGGATGAAAATTCCATACCACTTCGCACGAGCAGAAACCTTCAATGCCATAGGCTGCGGCTTAAGACAAGGCCCGTCAAGTGCAACCTTTTGAAGCCCATACAACAGCAACCTCACATCGCTGTCAAGACCAGAAACAAGAGCAGCACTGCTCTTGGAACCCACAAACACCACCGCAGCACCAAAACGCTTCTCCAACTCAGTTCTCTCTATCCCCTCCCAATCATCAAACGATCCATCATAACCATCAACATCACTACTTTTTACACCATCATTCTCATTCTCCCTAACACCCTTTATCAATCCAACCTCAATTTCACGAAAATCCAATCTCTCCGGACTTTGTTCAACCAGACTTCCCGTTTCTACCTCAATTTCACGAAACGTCGCTGTCATAGAACTTCCATCAACTACCTTCTGTTCTACGTCATCCCCACCGACGCTTACTTTATCTTTCTTCACTTCTCTTGTATCAATTTCACCATCTTTTACTTCCGTGGACTTCTTTTCAAACCCAAGAACTCCAACTTCCCTAGAAACCTCTTCATTATCGCATATTGCTTGAAATTCGCTATCTTCACGGTCATTGAATTTTCCCACTCCTCCAAAAAGCCCAACGTTTNGAAATTCCATACCACTTCGCACGCGCAGAAACCTTCAATGCCATAGGCTGCGGCTTAAGACAAGGCCCTTCAAGTGCAACCTTTTGAAGCCCAGACAACAGCAACCTCACATCGCTGTCAAGACCAGAAACAAGAGCAGCACTGCTCTTGGAACCCACAAACACCACCGCAGCACCAAAACGCTTCTCCAACTCAGTTCTCTCTATCCCCTCCCAATCATCAAACGATCCATCATAACCATCAACATCACTACTTTTTACACCATCATTCTCATTCTCCCTAACACCCTTTATCAATCCAACCTCAATTTCACGAAAATCCAATCTCTCCGGACTTTGTTCAACCAGACTTCCCGTTTCTACCTCAATTTCACGAAACGTCGCTGTCATAGAACTTCCATCAACTACCTTCTGTTCTACGTCATCCCCACCGACGCTTACTTTATCTTTCTTCACTTCTCTTGTATCAATTTCACCATCTTTTACTTCCGTGGACTTCTTTTCAAACCCAAGAACTCCAACTTCCCTAGAAACCTCTTCATTATCGCATATTGCTTGAAATTCGCTATCTTCACGGTCATTGAATTTTCCCACTCCTCCAAAAAGCCCAACGTTTTTCTCACTCTCAAAATCACAAACTACCAAATTTTGGTCCTGCTTTTGTGGATGAAAAACCCTTTTCTCGACCACGTCCATACGTGATCCCAACACAACGTCGTCTGCAGCGACGCCACTGGACGACATCATTGAAAGAAGCTCGGCAAGAATGAAAGAAACAAGAACAGAGAGACCCACAGTGAAGAGGAGTTCAAAGAAAATCTCCATAGCTGACCAAGAGAGCAGTGGAATTCGGAATTTGATGATAATGATAATTATGAAGAGAGAGAGAGAGAGAGAGAGAAGGGATTTTGCAGAGCAGAGGAAAGTATATTCTGCTGCGAATCGATTGAATTGTTGAATGGGGGTGTCGGTTGGTCCCACTGTGCTGGCAAGCCGTCATAAAAGCGAGGTGTCGAAAAGGCCTCTGTCTCTAACTAGCAGCGGTTGAGGTGGTACACTTCATTTTATGTACCTAATAAATAATCTACGACTCCTGTATCTGGCTAACATTACCAACAATTTGTCCCCTCTTTTTTCTGTCGTGTTACCATATTTTCTCTGTTTTTCCTAGGTACAAACTTTAGGTTTTGGAACTGTTACTCCTTTGAAAGTAGTGTCTAGTTTAATACTCTCTCCGTTCTTAAATATTTGTCATTTAAAATTTTTATACAAGAATTAACGAAGCTATTAAATAGTTGTAATATAAATAAAAAATAATTATATAAGACTAAAATATTCTTATTCAATATGTATTGAAAAGGAAAAGAATATAAAAGATATTTAGCCTCTACCTAATCTAATACATTGAAAAGTTAAAGATAAATTTAGAAAAAAAATAATATTAATTAAGCTTTAGTTTCATAAAACGATAAATATTTAAGAACGGAAGGAATAATTATTGTTGTTTAAAGATGAAAATTGCATCGAATCGATTACTTAAATATTAATTAATCTCAACTCAATTTATTTAATTAATTATGTTAAACAGTGTTTCATAAAAAAAAATGTTTTGATTACGAAGAGACTATGATACACTCGATATACAAAAATGTTTTGGTTACTACACCTAAACTTTTAATTACTCATAAGCGAAAATGGGGAAGAGTGGAGCTTAGAACCTTGCCGTGCAGGCTATTAGATCTTGAATTCTTGATAAAAGGGTCGAGATCAACTATATCACAATCTCGGGATTTCTATATCTATTCTATTATTTATATTATTCTTTTTTTTTTAATGTTTTTTCAATATCTCTTCAAAAGAAAAAACAACACATTCTGATGGCTATTAGCTCCGGATTAGGATTAATTTGTGATAATATTGAAAGAGTTATTTATCCCTATATACAATATACAATTGGGTCTTGTCGATTATACTATTATATATTTACTAGTTATAACTCGTGTCTGAAGGTACGATAAAATATAAAATTTGAGGGTCCAAAAAATCAGTTACACTATATTAAATTTTTTCAACATGTATATACTATCATATATGAATAATGTTTGAAATAAAAATTGTGGTAAATTATAAATTAATCAAATATTAAATGATTGAACATGTAATAGCAATGAGTGATGTGATTTTTTAGGAAAAAAATATGCAGCAGATAAAAATTCAAGTTTTCATGTTATTTTATATATATATATATATATATATATATATATAAAATTCAAGTTGTCATGTTAATTTATTTTATTTAAGTTGTCATGTTATTTCATTAGTAAAATTCATCACCAGTCCTTACATCTATAGCTTGTGATTCTCCTGATGTCTTTTGTTTGTTCCGCACTTTGTTGTATTTTGGTATCAAAGCCATTTCACGGCCTGGATAACTACTCATGCAGTTATATTTGAGTTATTTTACTTGTGTTAAATTTCTTTCATTTCAATTTAGTAAATCATTGTTTAATTTGGTTTACCCTTGTCACCTAACCTTTGTCAACTCAAGAGGGAGTGTCTCCTTGTCTCGTTTGTAAGTCCTGGTGAGACAGTTTTTTGGAAAAACAGAGACGTATCATGAGAACATGTATGTTAGGGGGTATGCACAATGGAGTCAAACTTAAACATTAATTTACATAATTGAAAATTTATATTTAATAATGAGTAGATTATTCATATCTAACTCTATGGCTAGCTCATCTAGTTCTTCATTTAGTACTATACCTAATATAGTAAACGAGGAAGAAAAAAAACACAATGAGTCACAAGTAGATTGGAGTAGATAGAAAATCCCAAAGGTATCCCATCGAAATATTTACAAAACCAGTTGGATCCCAAAAACATTCAACTCGGAACTCCAAGTAAAAACAATTGAACAAGTTTATGCTCTTAGTAAAGAAGAAGAAACTTGTCAATTAATTAGCAAAGAAGCCTTAAAGAAACATATGGCAAAAGGTTTTAATTTTATCCACCTAGGTTTAGTTCAAGTAGCAATTAAACCTTTAATGTCACCTGGTAAAGATGCAGCAGCTCTATTAATCCTAAGAGATGCTAGATTTATCGAATATGAACCTAGCATTTTAGGAATAATGGAGACTGGTCTCCATAATGGACCAATTAATTTAACTGCTTTCCAGACATTACCCTAAGCCTTAGTTGTAAAAATACACCAATGGGTTTAATCTTAGAGATAATACATTGTGGACAAATTACCAAATTAGTAAAAGAAACTCAATCTCTAGTACTTATTTATAGGATTTATTATAAATGCATGACCACAAACCTGAATGTACATGCATTAAAAAGCCAGTACTAGTGATTCTAACATCCAAGTCCCAAAGAGACTTGAATGGAAGAATGTTCAACTTCCAGAGTCATGGACAGTTGAAAATGAAAATTATAATAAAGATAGTGAAAACAATGCAGCTAACCTTGAGAACATTCAACAGTTATCTGATGGATTAATAAGAATCTCCTTTGATTATGCCAAATCTAGCAGATCCAACAGATCATTTAGTAAGCCTATCAAAATCAATGAAGTTCGAAAATCTGATTTATATTCTAGTATCTCCAGAAGAGATAAAGAACTAGTTAATGAATTAGAAAGAAAATTTAAGATAAAAGAAATTGATAATTTTACATCAGAAATTAGTAGACTGTGTTACACTCCACATCAGAGTGTCCCACAACCCAGTCCTAGAGATGAAGAGGAGGAAAAGGACTTCACCCCTTCACCTACAGCCAGTGATCTACAAAGCACTGCGCCAATCAATCATCAGTTGCTCATGATTAGGAAAGAAAATAGTTTATTCTTACCTAACATGATTAAGCTAGGAAAAGATTTTAAATCTATAGAAAATGAATCTAAAAGACAGAAATACTATAAAAGATTCAATAGTAATCAACAAAAAGAAATAATGACACAATGGGTTAAGTTAATGCACAAAATAGAATCAGAAATTCTATTTTTTGATTATCTGGAAACCCATCACCCAGAAGTAAAAGTAGTAACAAAACACAAGTGGAAAACCCCAGAGAATTCCACAATATCATCTAGTCATCCTTCGGCAGAAACCATAGTTTTCAGCCATTTAAATAAAGAAGTTACAGCCTCACCTTTTAAACTTCCCACCGACGAATCTGATAAAAAGGTAATTGAGCAAAATAACTTCACCAACCAAAGCCTAATAACTTTAGGAAAACAGCTTGATAAAATCGAAACTAAAATCGATGAAATCAAGTCATCTTTAAGTAAAAAATTACGGAAGCCTCTAATCAACCTACCTGAAGATAGAACTAATTTAGGCTTAAAAGATAAGCAAACAATTCACAAAATTGAAGAACTTATCTCTAAAAGGTAATCCAAATTGGGACCATCCCAAGTAACACTTATCAACCAAACTTCTGATGATTCAGAACCCAGTAGTTCAGAAAGCTCACTTGATTCTGAAATTGAAAAATTAGAAGAATCGCTTGGTAACCAAAAAATTAACAAATTAACTTTTTCAAAAGTTAATCCAACCAGTACTAGTAAAAATTGGTATCCCAAATCAACACTACCAGATCTTCAATTTGAAGAGAAAAATATTAGTAATCAGTTTTCTGTTCAATCCAATAAACTCTATGAATGGAACATAGATGGATTAAGTGAACAAGAAATAATTAACAAAATTAGCCACCTTTCCATGGTTGCTAATAGTTATGTCTCAAATCTTGACCTCACCGAACTAGAATTAGTGGATATGATCACCTCTGGATTCACACGAGTGTTAAGCAATTGGTAGACTAACTACCTTACACAAGAATCAAGAGAATAGATTAATATATGTTGTTGTTCTTGATGATGAAGGTATACCAGTTTTTAATGAAAGAATTGGTATAGCCAAATATGATGGGATTAACACTCTCATCTTCACAATAATCAAACACTTTGTTGGCACACCCAGTAACATTGAAGTCAGGATCCATGACTAGCTTAGTAACCTTAGGTGCCCAACACTTAGTGATTTCAGATGGTACAAAGATTTATTCATCTCTAGAGTGATGCTTAGGCCAGACTGTGATAAATCTTTCTGGAAAGAAAAGTTTGTCAACGGCCTACCTAATCTCTTTGCCCATAAGATTAGGAAAGCACTTAGTAAAGAAACTAGAATCATTAAATATGATTCACTAACCTACGGTGATCTTGTTAGTTCCATCCAAAAAGAAGGTATGTGAATGTGTATTGACATGAAAATTAGTAAACAATTAAAAGATGAAAAGAAAAAGGCTAAATATGAAATGAGCGATTTCTGCAAACAATATAGTCTCCGGTCAGTAGCACCATCTCACCGAAAACCAAAGTCACATAAACCTTATACCTGTAGTAAAAGGCACTACAAATGTAGTAAAAAGACTTTTAGTAAACCCACACACTATGAAAAATTTAGTAAAAAACCCAGAAAACCTTATAAGCGTAAAACTTATAAGAAAAAATCCGGAGAAAAAGATAGTAAAAAAGATAAAGAAGTTAAGTGTTACAACTGTGGCAAAAAAGGTCATATCAGCCCAGACTGTCCAGTTAAAAAACAAGTCAAAAGATTGAATCTAGCCCAAAAAGATGAAGAAGAAATTTTCAACATTTTTTGGTTAAACAATCTTACCCATAGTGAAGAAAGTTCAGATTGCTCAAGCAGTTCTGAAAGTTCTTCAGATTATCAGTCAACCTCTAGTAACCCTAGTGAACCTAAAATCAAATTAGATTGCAAAGATAGTTGTTGCAAAACAGTTAAGGTAATAACCAAACA